GACGTCCACTATGTTTGAACACTTTCTAACTGGAAAAAGTAGATCACCTGTGTATAAATACTCCTTTCAACATATATGGTTTGGAACACACTAATTTCTAATACTATTTAGGAATTGTAATTGGGATGCAGCAAAGGTTCATTCGACTTGGCCTAACAACTACCTAGCACACCCTAAAAACTGCACTGTAAAAAATGATTGTGATTTTAATGGTAAAAGACTGAGTTTCTTTACTACACACTCACCTAAAGGATTATTAGGAACACCATACTAATACTGTGTTTAACCCCCTTTCGCCTTCAGAACTCTATGTGTCATTGATTCAACAAGGTGCTGAAAGCATTATTTCAAAATGTTGGCCCATACTGATAGGATAGCATCTTGCAGTTGATGGAGGGATGTGGGATGCACATCCAGGGCACAAAGCTCCTGTTCCACCACATCCCAAAGATGCTCTATTGGGTTGAGATCTGGTGACTGTGGGGGCCATTTTAGTACGGTGAACTCATTGTCATGTTCAAGAAACCAATTTGAAATGATTCGAGCTTTGTGACATTGTGCATCAGAGGATGGTTACATGGTGGCCATAAAGGGATGGACATGGTCAGAAACAATGCTCAGTTAGGCCGTGGCATTTAAACGATGCCAAATTGGCACTAAGGGGCCTAAAGTGTGCCAAGAAAACATCCCCCACAACATTACACCACCACCACCAGCCTGCACAAGTGGTAACAAGGCATGATGGACCGATGTTCTCATTCTGAACCATCTGAACAGAAATCGAGACTCATTAGATCAGGCAACATTTTTCCAGTCTTCAACTGTCCAATTTTGTTGAGCTCTTGCAAATTGTAGCCTCTTTTTCCTATTTGTAGTGGAGATGAGTGGTACCCGGTGGGGTCTTCTGCTGTCGTAGCCCATCCGCCTCAAGGTTGTGCGTGTTGTGACTTCACAAATGCTTTGCTGCATACCTCATATCTGCATACCAATAAAATTCAATATACATTCTTGGTATTGTACTGGACTCTACGATCGGAAGTTATCGAGCATCCTTAGACCTTCACTGGAAATACCGCAGTGTATAGAGCCCATTGTTTAATTTTTTTGTAAAGGACTATTAGTTGTATCCTTTGTAAGGCACTGACTAATCAGATCACTGCATTCTGTACCAATATTAATAAGAAGAGAGCTGGTTAGTCATGATGAGCAAGTGACTTGGCATCAAAACATGATTAAAAAAAGGTATCATGTTCTTAATCTTTACTTTAAAGGTGAACTGAAGTATGCAAATGTATGACTTTTGTTGTATTACCTATATGAACACACACACAAAAAAATAAAAAAAAATAAGGAGATGATTCTGATATGTTAAAGGGTCGTAAAAAATAGTCACACGTGACACTTAGCTTCCTCCCGGTCAAAAATGACCGAATGGGAAATACGAAAAAATAGGAAAGAAATTTTTGGTGGTACTAGTTACAAATCAGCCACGGTGCAAAAAAAAAAGTGTACAGCAATGAAGGGGTGACACTCTAAAACATCAAGAGTTCAAATAAGACCCCCCCCCCCCCCCCACAAAATACAAAAGAGACTCTTGCTCAAATGCAAACACACACACACACACACAGAGAGAGAGAGAGAGAGAGAGAGAGAGAGAGAGAGAGAGAGAGAGAGAGAGAGAGAGAGAGAGAGAGAGAATTAACTTAATTATCATTATTTTATGTTTATTTCTGTTCGATCATTGCTGTTCCCTTCAGAAGTTTTTATTACTTACTGAATTAAAATGAATAAAAATACCAATTTATTATACAGGCAAAATGTCTGTATAAAGTGTTTTGAATTATCACTAACCATCCCTTATTTTGTTCAATTATTTGAATGACCAAATACTGAGTAACAAAAATGTTTGCATTGTGTTCCCTTTCTAACCAAATGCTAGCCTATAGTTTGATTGATTGTAATCATAATGCAAAACCTGATATGTATCTAAAAAAATAAAAATAAAGTAGTCTTTTAGAATATCTAAATGTATATATAAATTAAAAAAAAAAACGAATAAGATAGAGAAATCATGTCTAAAACAACAAAAGAAATCAAAAAGTCTTTCCATGTATTTATATAGGAAGCTATAGGCAGCCTACAGGCTGGCACAGGACATTGCACACATGTAACTATTTTTTAAAGCCACTAGATGGCGTTCTTCTCTTTTACTTGAACATTTTTGATGTGAAATGTTGCATTTATTTTTTTTAATAAATGTAAAATTATATATATATATATATATATATATATATATATATATATACACACACCCACACAGTATATATAAATTCTAATGGAAAAAAATAGCTCATAAAATTATATAATTAATGCAAAGTATCATAAAAACTGTAAAAATTCTATATAATAATCAGAAAATATTATCCTGGGAAAAAATAAAGTAAAATTTTAAGGCTTCGTCAGTTTTTGACCGGGAGGAAGCTAAGTTTAACCAATTTACGAAGAAGCCCAGATGAGTATGTCCGGATAGTTTTATTTGTTTTGACGACATTTTCGCTTGTACATCGGGATTTTTTCAAGTAAATGTAAAGGAATTGATGACGACTGCAGGTCTGCGTACAATGATGATTTGAATTTTAGTTGCTATAACGATGCGTGTTGGTTTATGAATTTGTTTGTTTACACTCAAACATCGCAATCTTTTGCTCGAGAGACGAGGCGAATTCAGAGAGTTTTGCCGAGTATTTTCCGTGCAGATTTCGACGCTATTTGGAGAATTCCTGAGAGAAAACTAATAATCTTCTTGGAGGAGTAGATCGGAGGATATCCTTTCCCTTTTCCCCCCTCTTTTTTTTCATTATCATTTTATATCTGAGGAGGCTTCTAATTGTATCTGGGAGTTAAACTTGGAGTTTATAGTTTTATTCAATTTTGTATTTAATTTGATTGTTTTTGTTTTTTTTATTTCTTATTTTTTAATTTTTTTTTATTTGATTTCTTTTGGTAGTAGCTATTTCTGAGGAGGGTTGTACTGTGTTATTTTTTTTTTGTATTGTATTTTGAAATTAACTTCTTGTTTCTATTGCAGGTTGGAGGACGTTGATGGCTCAGAAGAGTGAAAGACGAGGTGAGTGCTTTACTTTTCATTTGTTTATGTTATGGTATGATGATGATGGACTAAATTAATGTGCAGAAACTTGTGCGAGATAACACATTTCTCAGCTAAGTGATCACGTGTATTTGATTCCTTATTGCATGTAAAATAAACCTTTCAATTTTGAGCAAATATTTAGGAGCAATTTATAACTGACTGCTGACATTGAACATTGATTATATCAAAACATTACTAACTAAGGTTATGTGATGTCTAAAATATTCTAGGCTCAGGCCTCTCCAGATCCGGGAGAGCTGCTTCCACTCAGACGGCTGGTCTGGAGGTTTGGAGACTCAGTTCTGACGGTTCAGCTCCTCTGTCTTCTGAGTTTTCTGGTTCTGTGTTCACAGGTCAGGATCACCGGAAGAGGCAGAGCGGCAGCCAGCAGAACCCAGATGGTGGATGTACGTCCACTTCTATTATAACAATATACTTATAACAAGTGACCTCTGACATTGATTATTTATATTATTTAATAAAAAACAACAACTGTTTTTGATATTTGAAATATTCCAGTGTCAGGCCACTCCAGATCCAGTCACAGAGTCGGAGAGTTGAGTCTCAGCAGCAGGGGGTCATGCATCGTTGAGTGGAGGTGGAGTGGCTTGGGATCGGACGGCCCAAGTGAACAGAACAGTTGTGGCCTCTGGAGTTTGTCCGCGTCCAACAGCCTCCGAGAGATGATGTGTCCTCCGCTGCCAGGTCAGGTTCCCGTGGAGCCAGCAGTGACCGCTAATGGTCTGATAGCTCAGGGTGCCGTGGAGGCGTCTCCTGCCAACAAGAGCTCAACAGGTGAGATTGAAATAGGAGTGAGGGGTGTAAAGTGTACTGATTTTCCTATTTTATGCATAAGACTGCGTCAAGTATTTAACAGGTTAATCTCTAGTCATATTTACCGTTGCTCAGCATAATTTAGCTAACGTTAAAATGTTCTTTTTGTTTCCATAATGTTTGCAAATTATTAAACAGAATGTTTCCGTAACATTTGCAATTGCAAGAATTCTTTTTAATACTCAATAGTAAATATTGTGAAATAAGAGTTTGGGACATTTATGCAGGCATTAAGCAGAAGCAGGGCCGTCGTATAATATTTGCATTACTTGGATTTGTAATATTACAGATAAGAATCGAACAGTAACGTGTAATTTTGTCATTGTTTAATTTGAGGTCAGAGATGTTGTCTTTTCAATATTTTTTTTCTACATTTCAGAATATAGGGAGAAGAAAGGACTTTGCGGTTTCCTCAGGAGGGTGTGGAAGGCTATGAAACGGCATTTCGGCTGCCGTTGTCACTGCAGTGCTGTGAATGTTGTGGAGCCTTTCATCCCTCCACCAGATCTGGACCCAGAGCCTGACCCAGATCACTCAGCCATCAAGCACAATCATGGTAAATCTACAGTCATTATTTCTTGATCATTATTTTAAACAGTATTGTTGTCTTGTATTCCACTAAAAATATATTAAGGCTTGTTTTCTGAGAATAATATTATTCTCCCCATATTAATGTCATAAAAGGTAACTACAGGGGTTAAGATTAGGTTTAGGTGAAGGTGCGTATCAAGTACCCAGTTATTGTAATAACTTTAATAAGTACATGGGGAACAGGACTGTGAAATAAAGTGCTACCGGTAACACTTTATTTTAAGGTGACGTAGTTACAAATTAGTACATCATCTACTTACTAAAGTACAGTAAATTATGCATACTTAACTAATCCTAACCTTAACTCTATTGTAAGTACATGTAGTCAATTCATATTACTTGTCTGAGTCAGTAACCTTTTATTGTTATTTTCAAAGGATCTAGCGAGCTTATTTATTTCTAATATTGTTTCTGTTTTTCAGAGTCCTTTGCTTCTCTCTTCGAGGTAGGAGAGATGATTGGGTCCGGGGGATTTGGCAGGGTGTACGAGGGAATGCGGAAACTTGATGGCAAAAAGGTAAATATTACCGAACTGCAGAAACATTTTTGCAAGTACAATTTACAGATCGTGGTTTGATACCTAGTGCAAGGTCAGGTGCCTGAATACTGTTACTGTTAATGAAACATTTTTTGTTTGTTTTTTTGCAGGTTGCCATCAAGCAGATCAGCAAGACTGACAACAATCGTTATCTTGCTATAGTAAGTTGTTGAATGTGTATTTAGTTGTTTAAGTGCTGATTACTGTAGTCAATACACCTGTAGGAAGCATTCGCTGTACATGTTACAGACAAGTAAGCCTAGACGCACCAAATAACTTTAAGCTGAAAAGGCTCTGTATCTACAGAGGTCAAAGAAAAGTACATTAAAAAAATGAGATTTGTACCTAGCTAATCTTCTCTCTTCTACTTTTCTCTAGCCTGGGCATCCCGAACCTCTCGTAACAGAAGTGGCGCTGCTTCTAATGATGAGGCAAGAACCCAGAAGCCCCCACGTCATACAGCTGTACGAGTGGTTTGAACACCCTCGAAAATTCACTCTCGTCATGGAGTACCCCGAACCTTGTGAGAGCTTGTTGGACTTAATGCACCGTAGCTTTGAGCTTGATGAACCAACGGCACAGGTCATCATGAGACAGGCTGTGCTGGCAGTACAACACTGCATCGAACATGGCGTCTTTCATAATGACATTCATCCGGGAAACTTCCTGATCAACAAAAACACGCTAGAGCTCAAGCTGATTGACTTTGGGTGCGGTCAGCTTCTTAGTAGTGACGGCTACGAGAGCAGAGTATACTTTGGTGAGCATTTTGGCAGTGTGGAAACCTGAATGTAGTGACCTACTGATTATTTGACACTTTGGAAAAACAAAAAAGCTCAACAACGTGCGAATGTCTTGCTTACAGGATTAAGAACTTACTACCCACCTGAAGTCTTCACGGATAGGAGATTCCACGCCGTCCCAACAAATGCCTGGGCTCTAGGCGTGTTGTTATATGAGATGACGAACGCATGTCCTCCTTTTGTCAGTAGAAAGGAACTCACACGGGGCAACGTTATATTTGTGAACCCCAACTTATCCAAAGGTGAGTGAATAATATTGAAATCTTTGATAAGCACACACATAAAGCAAAGGCTCTGTACAGAAACAGTTAAAGGTGAAGTAAGATTTTTCTGAACCAGTAAGAGTTGCCTTTGTGATGTTTGAGGCGTGAAGCATGCATCCCTTTGATGCAGAAACTCTATACTTCACCTTTAAAGTAAAGATAAAGAACATGTTACCTTACATTAATCATGTTTAGATGCCAAGTCACATGCTCATCATGACTAACCAGCTCTCTTCTTATTAATATTGGTACAGAATGCAGTGATCTGATTAGGCAGTGCCTTACAAAGGATCCAACTAAACGGCCGACGTTAGATCAGATCTTACAGCATAAATGGATTAGAGAATGATCTTCTTGTAGATTGGACAAGTTCAGGAGATTTCAGGTGTGAGGAAGTAGAACAGTCAGACAGAGTAGGATTGTTCTCATTTATCATTTATCTATTTTCAGATATGTGGAGTGAACAGAGTTTATTTTAATGTTGTTGTCATAGTCTAGTCACTTTCTTTTATATAGCGCTTTATACAGTACAGATTGTTTCATGCAGCTTCATGATATTAAACAGGAAAATAACAGAATCAGTGATGCAAACAGAATTCAATTCTGCTGTAAAAACTTTTATGTGTTGACATGTTCTTATAATCTTTGTTTTGGACAGGAAATCACAAACTTGCTGTCCTTGGTGGAGGGCTTGAGCTCGTGACGTGACCCGAAGCTCGAAATCCAACTCGCCAGGGAACTCACGCCGCCACACCAGAGAGCTCAGAGCCTGGCAACACGGGGGATCTTGCGGACAGTAAATCAATCAAGAAAAATTTGGGATGTGCGGACTGGAGCGGTTCAAAAGCCACACCAGGCCGCTCCGCTTATTATCGCTCGGCGCTTAACGCAGTTTGCTTCGCGCTCCACTCAAATCGGCATGAATTTGTATTTCAAAGAACTAAAGACCAACAACAACATTTTCCAAACAGAAATGTTTCATTTCAAATTACATATTAGGACTAGCCTATGTGAGAACAGCCTACACAAAAAGTCCTGTAAAATTAAACGAATAAATGGGCCTAATAATATTAATTTAAAATTGTATAAACAAAAATATACATAAAAGTTTTAAAAGTAAATTAACTAAAGGCCAGAATTTTGATAACTGAACTTTTGCTCAACGCGCACGATAAAAATTTAAATTATAGCCATTGTACATACAAACTACTGTAAAATTAAACGAATTTGGACCAGTTTGGCATCGAACAACCAGCCGAACGACTTTTAAAAAAACTTTTGCTGATAATTTACTCACCCCCATGTCATGTCATCCAAGATGTCCATGTCTTTCTTTCTTCAGTCGAAAAGAAATTAAGGTTTTTTGCTTTAAACGATTCCAGACGAATAAGGGTCTTATCAAGTGAAACGATCGCTCATTTAATAAATAAATAACAAAGTTTAAGTTTTATAAGCTCGAATGCTCGCCTTGCTCTGTTCTTTAACGCACATTGTGACTCTCCTGTTTGAACTCAAAATGAACGAATCTTTTTCCGAGTCATTTGGTTCATTGAACGAACGAAACGAACGAATTGACTTGGAAAAAGATTCGTTCATTTTGATGCATTTTGATGTGAGCATTTGAGCTTATAAAACTTAAACTTTGTTATTTTTTTTAAATGAGCGATCGTTTCACTTGATAAGACCCTTATTCATCATCTGGAATTGTTTAAAGCCCTTTTAACAGTTTGCATTTTGCAGTGAAAATGTCTTTTGGACCTTGAACCGTTTGGTTCCCATTGAAGTCCATTATATGAAGAAAAATGCTGGAATGTTTTAATCAAAAACCTTAATTTCTTTTCGACTGAAGAAAGAAAGACATGGACATCTTGGATGACATGGGGGTGAGTAAATTATCAGCAAAAGTTTTTTTTTAAAGTGAACTACTTTAAAAAAGATATCACAGTTTCTGTATAATATAATATAATATAATTTAATATAATATAATATAATATAATATAATATAATATAATATAATATAATATAATATAATATAATATAATATAAGGGCTGTCAAATGATTAATCGTGATTAATCACATCCAAAATAAAAGTTTTTGTTTACATGATATATGTGGGTAAACTGTATATAATTATTTTATATATATAAATAGCTTGTATATATTAAGCAAATATTTATGTATATACTGTATATAATAGATTTATATATAAATTATATATATATAAATATAGATATATATATAAATATAAATATACATGCATATGTGTGTATTTATATACATAGAAAATAATTATACACAGTTTACCCACATATATCATGTAAACAAAACTTTTATTTTGGATGTGATTAATCGTGATTAATCATTTGACAGCCCTAAATATAATATAATATAATATAAAGTTAAATATAAAGTTGTCTCCCGAAGAGGGGGGGTGGAGGTGGGAAAAAAAATTAAACGAATAAATGGGCCTAATAATATAACCAAAAATGATATAAACAAAAATGTAAAAATATATACATAAATGTTTAAAAGTAATTAATTATTAGGTCAGATTAAAATAAGCCTAACTGAACTTTTGTGCAGCGCACGCTATTAAAATTTAAATTGGCTTAGGCCTAAATCAGTTGTACACAAAAAAAGCTGTAAAATTAAACGAATCAATGCGCCTAATTATATAAATAAAAATTTGGCTATAGGCCTACATCAAAGTGTTAAATTAAAAAGTAAATTAACTATTAGGCCACCAGACTTATATCTATCTGAACTTTTGCGCAGAGAGCGCGTGGATAACAGTTTAAATTGGATCTTGGACAGATCTTGCTCTTATACAGAAATATAATATAATATAAAGTTGTCCCCTGAAGAGGGGGGGTGGAGGTGGGAAAAAAATTAAACGAATAAATGGGCCTAATAATATAACCAAAAATGATATAAACAAAAATGTAAAATAGATATATACATAAATGTTTAAAAGTTATTAATTATTAGGTCAGATTAAAATAAGCCTAACTGAACTTTTGTGCAGCGCACCCTATTAAAATTTAAATTGGCTTAGGCCTGAATCAGTTGCACACAAAAAAAAGCTGTAAAATTAAACGAATCAATGCGCCTAATTATATAAATAAAAATTTGGCTATAGGGCTACATCAAAGTGTTAAATTAAAGAGTAAATTAACTATTAGGCCACCAGACTTATATCTATCTGAACCTTTGCGCAGAGAACGCGTGGATAACAGTTTAAATTGGATCTTGGACAGATCTCGCTCTTATACAGAAATATAATATAATATAATATAATATAATATAAAGTTGTCCCCCGAAGAGGGGGGGTGGAGGTGGGAAAAAAAAATTAAACGAATAAATGGGCCTAATAATATAACCAAAAATGATATAAACAAAAATGTAAAAAAGATATATACATAAATGTTTAAAAGTTATTAATTATTAGGTCAGATTAAAATAAGCCTAACTGAACTTTTGTGCAGCGCACCCTATTAAAATTTAAATTGGCTTAGGCCTGAATCAGTTGCACACAAAAAAAGCTGTAAAATTAAACAAATCAATGGGCCTAATTATATAAATAAAAATTTGGCTATAGGCCTACATCAAAGTGTTAAATTAAAGAGTAAATTAACTATTAGGCCACCAGACTTATATCTATCTGAACTTTTGCGCAGAGAGCGCTTGGATAACAGTTTAAATTGGCTCAAACTTAAAAAAAGAGAAAAGAATTGCTTTCCATATCTAGCCTATAGAGCGACGCTCCGTCCTTTTAAAAATGCCGCTCTGCGCTCTGTCCAAGATCCGCCCGCTCGTGCTCCCCGCTCGCACGCGCTCCACTCCGCTCACATTCTCTGGATCCTAAAGTTAAGCCAAAGGGTACAAACACACTGTAGGGTTACAAATGTATTAAAATCTAGATTTCCCATACCAAAGAAGTGTAGTAGTGTGAATTATTTTAACTAAGGTAAATGTCACAAACCTGTCCTGATCTTTCTATTGCAAGTTAAATTGATACCATCACCTTGTGTTTATTAGGTTATCACCACAAGGGCTGGAGAAAGAGGGGACTGTGTTATTCCTCTCAGAAAAAGTCAATTTAGATGCTCTGTTTTTTCAGTGTTAGCTACAAGGGAATAGAACTCCATCAATAATTAGAAGACTGGATATACATATGGTTATTTTAAGTTTCATCTAAAGAAAAAAAATGTCAGTCTTGAAGCTTATTTGAAGAGTTCACAGATTCTGTCATCATTATTTACTCCAAAGTCATATGCCTACCACTATTTTTACAGTGGGACACAGTTTTGGGATTGCCTGGTTCAACCAGACTCTCGTACATTTCATTTGTACAGAGAGTCGGGCCTCTCTCGTTGAGAAACGTTTACTTCCTTGTAGGCGGGTTCTCTGTTAAAGTTCAAAACTATTGGATCTGCCTAGAGTCACTCAGGATCTCCCATAGCCAATCGCTAACGTGTGGTCGGCCGGCAACAATAAGTCCGAATGATCAGACTCACCAGCAATATACTGTAATAATTATACGCTATTACTTCACAGCCATTTATTGTAAAAATAAATGCAGTACATGTATGTGATTATTACAATTTACAATACACTCTAAAATGTGTAATGTACACATTTTTGTAAAAACAACACACAGGAAATTACTACAGTAAAAACACAGGCAGTTATAGGCTGGTGAACATTTATTTTCAACGCATTCTCATCCTAGGGCGTCATGTAGGTGACGCTTTTGACATGGCACCCTTTAGCGTCAATAGCCTATAACATGCTTCGGTTATGAGTAGGTTTAGGTCTGGTGTAGTGTTAGGGTTAGACCACTATGAGGCGCCTTCTAGCCCATATGGTCCTTCTAAAAAAATTAGCATATTGTGATAAAGTTCATTATTTTCCATAATGTAATGATAAAAATTAAACTTTCACATATTTTACATTCATTGCACACCAACTGAAATATTTCAGGTCTTTTATTGTTTTGGCATACAGCTCATGAAAACCCAAAATTCCTATCTCCAAAAATTGGCATATTTCATCCGACCAATGAAAGAAGTGTTTTTAATACAAAACAACACCTCACTGCTGAGGTGTTATGGAGGCCCAGGATGCTTCGATAGCGGCCTTAAGCTCATCCAGAGTGTTGGGTCTTGCGTCTCTCAACTTTCTCTTCACAATATCCCACAGATTCTCTATGGGGTTCAGGTCAGGAGAGTTAGCAGGCCAATTGAGCACAGTAATACCATGGTCAGTTAACCATTTACCAGTGGTTTTGGCACTGTGAGCAGGTGCCAGGTCGTGCTGAAAAATGAAATCTTCATCTCCATAAAGCCTTTCAGCAGATGGAAGCATGAAGTGCTCCAAAATCTCCTGATAGCTAGCTGCATTGACCCTGCCCTTGATAAAACACAGTGGACCAACACCAGCAGCTGACATGGCACCCCAGACCATCACTGACTGTGGCTACTTGACACTGAACTTCAGGCATTTTGGCATTTCCTTCTCCCCAGTCTTCCTCCAGACTCTGGCCCCTTGATTTTCCGAATGACATGCAAAATTTGCTTTCATCCGAAAAAAGTACTTTGGACCACTGAGCAACAGTTCAGTGCTGCTTCTCTGTAGCCCAGGTCAGGCGCTTCTGCCGCTTTTTCTGGTTCAAAAGTGGCTTGACCTGGAGAATGCGGCACCTGTAGCCCATTTCCTGCACACGCCTGTGCACAGTGGTTCTGGATGTTTCTACTCCAGACTCAGTCCACTGCTTCCGCAGGTCCCCCAAGGTCTGGAATCGGTCCTTCTCCACAATCTTCCTCAGGGTCCTTCCCACTGAGTTGCCTTGAAACAGCACTCTGGGAACAGCCTATTTGTTCAGAAATTTCTTTCTGTGTCTTACCCTCTTTCTTGCTTGAGGGTGTCAATAATGGCCTTCTGGACAGCAGTCAGGTCGGCAGTCTTACCCATGATGGCGGTTTTGAGTAATGAAACAGGCTGGGAGTTTTTAAAAGCCTCAGGAATCTTTTGAGGTGTTTAGAGTTAATTAGTTGATTCAAAAAAAAAAAAAAAATATGCTAATTTTTTTTAGATAGGATGAGTGCCACAACATCATGGCCACCAACTAAACTTAGCAAACATTGTTCTTGCCCCGGCTTTAAATTCTGTATATTTGGCCGTTTTTGACTGAATAGCTTTTCTCATGTCTTTCTGAAACTCAAACTGGTGTGCTACATCAACGTCATCGTTCTCAGCCACTCCCTCTATTCGCTGATTGGTCCTAGAAAAAAATTCGCTGATTGGTCCTAGATTTCTGGAAACCTAAGAATATACAGCAGTCCCGGACGTAGTACTGAAGGAAAATGAAATTGGGCGGAAGTGCGTAGCCAGGCTTGTTTTGGAAGGGCAATTGTGAAGAATCATTACGCGGCTTGTAAGTATGTAATGTATTTAGGGCTCGATCCTGGTCAAGACAAACTCCAAACTGAATGTCAGAATGGGAAAGAAAGGTGATTCAGACAATTTTGAGCGTGGCATGGTTGTTGGGGCCAGACTGAGTATTTCATAATCTGCTCAGTTACTGGGATTTTCACGATTTACACAACTATTACTAGGGTTTACAAAGAATGGTGTGAAAAGGGAAAAAACATCCAGTTTGCAGCAGTCCTGTGGGCGAAAATGCCTTGTTGATGCTAGAGGTCAAGCTGATAGAAGAGCAACTTTGACTGAAATAACCACTCGTTACAACCGAGGTATGCAGCAAAGCATTTGTGAAGCCACAACACGCTCAACCTTGAGGCAGATGGGCTACAGCAGCAGAAGACCCCACCGGGTACCACTCATCTCCACTACAAATAGGAAAAAGAGGCTACAATTTGCAAGAGCTCACCAAAATTGGGCAGTTGAAGACTGGAAAAATGTTGCGTGGTCTGATGTGTCTAGATTTCTGTTCAGACATTCAGATGGTAGAGTCAGAATTTGGCGTAAACAAAATGACAACATGGATCCATCATGCTTTGCTACCACTGTGCATGTCCATCCCTTAAAGGCCGCCATGTACCCATCCTCTGATGTCTACTGCCAGCAGGATAATACACCATGTCACAAAGCTCGAATCATTTCAAATTGGTTTCTTAAACATGACAATGAGTTTGCTGTACTAAAATGGCCCCCACAGTCACCAGATCTCAACCCAATAGAGCATCTTTGGGATGTGGTGGAACGGGAGCTTTGCGCCCTGGATGTGCATCCCACAAAGATTCATCAACTACAAGATGCTATCCTGTCAATATGGGCCAACATTTCTAATGCTTTCAGCACCTTGTTGAATCAATGCCACATAGAATTAAGGCAGTTTTTTTAAGGCGGTTAAACACAGTATTAGTATGGTGTTCCAAACAATCTGTTAGCTGAGTGTATATGGACAAGCAGGACTTTTTTTTATATTTATGTTGGTTGTGTTGGAGTCCGTGTTGCGCTGGAGGCAGGTCGTTTTTTGGTGTTATATCAGACTCCATGTCGTTAGCTGCAGTGCCGTCGCATAGGCTGTACATAAAAAGGAGAGAGCGCGCATCTATGTCACATCCGGATCCGATGGATTTCGCAGAAAATCCGACCCGGAGACTTCACATAGAAATAGCTTCAGAAGTAATAGCAAAACCCGACAAGTGGATGTGTGATTACAACCCCTTCACACACAGGCAATAAAAAAGGATTAATTTAGGAAGAAAAGTTACATGTAGCTCCTTTTAAACAACACAAGGGTAAGTAAATGATGACTTGATGTTCATTTTAGGGAGAACTGTCCCTTTAACTGCAGTTTGTCTGTGGCCAGTGAGGATCCCAGGCAATTAAAGGTAAGCACTGTTTTATAACTTTTGCCAGATTTAGCCTCCATATTTAAAGGGTAACTTAATTTTTTTGTGTGTGTTTTCTTATTTATTTTAAGACATTTGGGTATGTTTATGGTGGTCAACAGATAATAATTTTATTACTTCTATTGTGCTCTTGGCTTCCGATTTCGCATATGAACACAACTGGCCTGAAATGATAGACAGACAGGAAGCCTGTTTTAATTTTATTGTATTTTGTGGCGGAAACAAGCTTCCATACTAATACCACTTCGACATAAAGGCAATCTTATGCGGACGCGGAAAGCACAATCTTTAGGCCTATATAAATATTGCGCCACACACGACTCTCTCTCTCTCACACACACAACAAGCTTTTCAGAAGCGTGTGTGTCTGGCTTTAAAAGTCAGTAGTCATTATTAGCATGCAAGTAGGCCTACTCTATCTTTTGTATCCCTCTGGACTTCTTCGCAAAAATGACCGAAAACTTTTACGTTTTGAATTTTTTCTTCCAGACTTCCTGTCTGTCTATCATTTCAGGGCAGTTGTGTTCCTATTCGAAATTGGACGCCAAGAGCGCAATAGAAGTTATAAAATTATTATCTGTCGACCACCATAAATATACCCAAATGTCTTAAAATAAATAAGAACACACACAAAAAAAGATATTTTTTTCCTAATTTTTCTTCATTAGTGCTGATCATTGATTCAAGTAATTTTTTTTGACATTATTACCTATATGAACACACACACAAAAAAAAAATAAGGAGATGATTCTGATATGTTAAAGGGTCGTAAAAAATAGTGCACTTAGCTTCCTCCGACCGATATAGGAAATGAATGGGAAATACGAAAAAATAGGAAAACTCTGAGAAACTTTTGGTGGTCCAAGCTACAGATCAGCCACTGTGCAGAAAAAAAATTGTACAGAATATGCAAAATAAAATCGACAAATGAAAAAAAAAAAATCTCGCTCAAGTGCAGTTTCATTGATTCTAATCATAATGCAAAACCTGATACGTAACTAAAAAAGTTGTTGAAAAAAAATAAAGTAGTCTTTTAGAATATCTAAATGTATATCTAAATTAAAAAAAACCCCAATAAGATCGAGAAATCATGTCTAAAACAACAAAAAGAATCAAAAAGCCTTTCTATGTAACTTACTGTACTTGTATAGGAAGCTATTAGGCAGCCTACAGGCTGGTACAGGACATTGCACACATACAGGACATAACTTTTTTTTTAAAGCCACTAGATGGCGCTCTTCTAGTTGAAATTTTTTAATAGGCTGGCACTGTAGACGGTGGGCCGAACGCTGCTATCTGCTTTAGTTTTTGAAATGATTGATCCTCAAGGATAGAGTAGCTGCTTTTTTCACATAAACTAAATCCATTTTTTGAACACGTATCCGTTTGTTGGCAGTGTCAAGTCGATCATAGTTTTTTGAAAACTAAATTTACGATTCATAAACGGATTAGGCAAAGGCGACGGAGTACTATGGCTCTAACCAATCAAAAAACAAATTCTATCGTCACGTGACTAACGTCTGCCAATAGTATTCGTTCAAAATATATTATCATTTATCACGACTTGTTATTGCTTGTTTCTAGCTAGCTAGCTAGCCACAGGTTCACACCATAAATCGTCTCTGACAAAGTCTACAAAATAAAACATTTTCCAGCCGGAATCCTATCCGAAGTCGAGAAACATTAACACCGGCATCCAAAATTCCAGGTGTAACGTAAATGGCTCCGGTAAGTACTGCTGTTTATACCTATCTTATAGCGTTAGCATGATTTAACGTGTTAGCATGTTAAAACGTTAGCTAGATGTAATTTTAGCAATGCGTGTTAACGTAAATAGTGGTTCTATTAGGCTGTAGCGCCGTAAATTAGGATATGAAAGACGATTAGACAGAGATTAATGTGGAAAAGATAACATTTATCATATAAGTTTACATCAACTGCTTCATAAATATAAATCCTCATTTATTAGACCGTGAACTAATTATTTTACTACACTGTTTACGGAGGTGGGCACAAATACATCAAAAATAATTTTGTTACAAAATACAAATACTGGCTCATGAAATGTAACAAAATAAAATACAAAAGCTGATGTGAATAAATGTATTTAAATTAAATTAAAGTAATTAGTATTTTGAAATACAAAAATACTCCCACAATAATCTGTAAGTCTTAAATATTTTGTTACAAAACTACATTTTATTTTTCCCACACCTGCAAAATACAAATTACAAAATACACTAAAGTAATTAAATACATATTTAAAATGCATTTAATTGAAATACTGCCCATGTCTGACTTTACAACTATACTCATCTGTTTCCCCAGGTAATCCCAGATCCTCAGCCCTCCAGTGAGAGACATCTTGACCTGATCTGACTATGCCCTGACACATCTATTCTGCTGAAACAATGAAAATTAAATGTTTTTACGGTTCATCATAAAAACCTTTTAATGTTACATGGGCAGTGTTTTTTTTTTTTTTTTTTTTTTTTTTTTTTTGTGTGTGTGTGTGTGTGTGCATAGTTTCAGAGGGATCTATTTATGTTGTTAATATATGTTAAATGGTCTACCATTATGTATAGCCTATTACTGCCATCTAATATTAATAAAGCCTGCTTGACCAAATTGTTGAATTGGTACCCTATATAGTTATAAAGGTAGTCATGATAAGATAATACATATTCAACCTTAGAACATATTTAATTAACCAAAGAATAAATATGTAATAATTAACTTAAATATATATAATTATAGTATACAATTATATATGTATGTTTTTTCAGTATTTCTGAGATTTAAATATCAATAGCTTATGTTTTGGGGTTAATAACGATTCTAAGCTTTTATACCATGATTTATCCAAACATATGAGGTCAAACAACTAGGCTACACTTAACCATTATAAAGCTGCAGTATGCTGAGTACAAACCTTCAACTTCCTGTTTTGTCTTTTCTTCTTGCTGGCTCTCTCAATATTTCTTTTGTTAGCATACTGCAAATAGCATTCTCTATGTTAACCAACATGAATTGGGACATCTGGAATGTGGCCTTCTGTGATTTCACATTTTTCCACAGCTTTTTGGTGACCAACAGTCCTGTTTTCACATCCTGTCCTGGCCATCCTGGCTGTTTTTTATAAAGTGATGAAATGTCCTGGTTTTCAAAAAACTACTGGGAAAGATAAGCTGTTTGTAATTTCAGTTTGTAACTGTTTTCTTTATTTCACATGTAAAGAAAACATCTTAAAGATGTTTGTTTAACTTTTTGATTCAGTTTTAAATGTTCTGTTGGTTGTATTTTATCCCAGCTTTTATGTAGAGTTAAAAAACTGAAACAGGAAGTGCTTCTGGACTAGGATAAAGAGGAAGAAAACTAAAGATAAAAATATATTTATTGTTAGTTCGTTTTTGTAAGTTTGTGAGAGCTATTTTTGTTCAATTTGGGGGTATTTCTTTTAGTTATTTATATATTTATTTTTCTAATACAGAAGAGACATTATTTCTATCATTATTTTTGAAACCTGTCGTAATAAAACATGTTGAGTAACCTCTGATAAGCCTATCTGAATTTGTGTCTTGTAATATAAACATTTTCTATCCATACAGAGGAGGCATAACTTACTTTAAATGTGTTTTGAAATTAATAAGGCATCTTTGAGTAAACTTCGAGTATCATTTGATGGTCCGTGTACGAGTGTCCTGGATTTTGGTAATCAAAATAAAGTCACCCTACACTCTAAAGAACATTGTACAACTTGATCCAACTTGTTAATGAAAAGGGTATGATGTTTGTTGATGTACAGTTAGTAACATGCACACAACACTCCATATTCAAGATAAAGTGTTTTATTTATGTTAAATATATACATTTATGCCTACAATAACATTGCCGCTAAGGTCACTCCCGCCTATGTCAGGGTCCTAGTCGGTCGTCTGCGATTGGTTGGTATTTTTAATGAGTTAAACGCTACAATCCGATTGGTTCAGCTACTAGAGCTGTCCCGCGATCTGCCTAAGACTATTGACAAATAAAACATACTTTTGTGAAAATATGTGATCAAACCAGAATTGCCAACAAATTTTATTTGACTACATATAATGACTTAATAGCGTACATAAAAGAAACGTATACTCTATCGATGGAGATCGATCAACAACACGAAAAACGCGCTCGGCCCACCGTCTAGTATTTTGATGTGAAATGTTGCATATATATATATATATATATATATATATATAATGGAAAAAATAGCTCATAAAAATTATAGAATTAATGCAAAGTATAATAAAAACTCAAAAACTTCTTAATAATAATCAGAAAATAGAACAAAACTATATTTCAATGGTTATCCTAGGAAAAAAAATAAAGTTAAACTTTAAGGCTTCGTCCATTTTTGACCTGGAGGAAGTGTTAACGTTACCCATTTAAAAAAAGAAGCCCAGATGAGTATTTATGTCCGGATAGTTTTATTTGTTTTGACGACATTTTCGCTTGTACATCGGGATGTTTTCGAGTAAATGTAAAGGAATTGATGACGACTGCAAGTCTGCGTACAATGATGATTTGAATTTTAGTTGCTATAACGATGCGTGTTGGTTTATGAATTTGTTTGTTTACACTCAAACATCGCAATCATTTGCTCGAGAGACGAGGCGAATTCAGAGAGTTTTGCCGAGTATTTTCTGTGCAGATTTCGAAGCTATTTGGAGAATTCCTGAGAAAAAAACTGATCATCTTGGAGGAGTAGATCGGAGGATCCTTTCCCTTTTTCCCACTCTTTCTTTTTTTAAACATTATCTTATTTCTGAGGAGGCTTATATCTAATTGTTATTATCTGGGAGTTAAACTAGGAGTTTGTTATTTTATGTAATTTTTTATTTAATTTATTTGTTTTTTTAATTTTTTTTTGTTTTATTTATTTATTATTTTTATTTATTTATTTGATTTATTTTGGTAGTATTTCTGAGGAGGGTTGTACTGTGTTATTTTTTTGTATTGTATTTTGAAATTAACTTCTTGTTTCTATTGCAGGTTGACGTTGATGGCTCAGAAGAGTGAAAGACGAGGTGAGTGCTCTACTTTTCATTTGTTTATGTTATGGTATGATGATGATGAACTAAATTAATGTGCTGAAACTTGTGCGAGATAACTTATTTGATCCGCCAAATTTCTCAGCTAAGTGCTCACGTGTATTTGATTCCTTATTGCATGTAAAATAAACCTTTCAATTTTGAGCAACTTTATAGGAGCAATTTATAACTGACTGCTGACATTGAACATTGATTATTAACATAACATTACTAACTATGTGATGTCTGAAATATTCTAGGCTCAGCCCTCTCCAGATCCGGGAGAGCTGCTTCCACTCAGACGGCTGGTCTGGAGGTTTGGAGACTCAGTTCTGACGGTTCAGCTCCTCTGTCTTCTGAGTTTTCTGGTTCTGTGTTCACAGGTCAGGATCACCGGAAGAGGCAGAGCGGCAGCCAGCAGAACCCAGATGGTGGATGTACGTCCACTTCTATTATAACAATATACTTATAACAAGTGACCTCTGACATTGATTATTTATATTATTTAATAAAAAACAACAACTGTTTTTGATATTTGAAATATTCCAGTGTCAGGCCGCTCCAGATCCAGTCACAGAGTCGGAGAGTTGAGTCTCAGCAGCAGGGGGTCATGCATCGTTGAGTGGAGGTGGAGTGGCTTGGGATCGGACGGCCCAAGTGAACAGAACAGTTGTGGCCTCTGGAGTTTGTCCGCGTCCAACAGCCTCCGAGAGATGATGTGTCCTCCGCTGCCAGGTCAGGTTCCCGTGGAGCCAGCAGTGACCGCTAATGGTCTGATAGCTCAGGGTGCCGTGGAGGCGTCTCCTGCCAACAAGAGCTCAACAGGTGAGATTGAAATAGGAGTGAGGGGTGTAAAGTGTACTGATTTTCCTATTTTATGCATAAGACTGCGTCAAGTATTTAACAGGTTAATCTCTAGTCATATTTACCGTTGCTCAGCATAATTTAGCTAACGTTAAAATGTTCTTTTTGTTTCCATAATGTTTGCAAAATTATTAAACAGAATGTTTCCGTAACATTTGCAATTGCAAGAATTCTTTTTAATACTCAATAGTAAATATTGTGAAATAAGAGTTTGGGACATTTATGCAGGCATTAAGCAGAAGCAGGGCCGTCGTATAATATTTGCATTACTTGGATTTGTAATATTACAGATAAGAATCGAACAGTAACGTGTAATTTTGTCATTGTTTAATTTGAGGTCAGAGATGTTGTCTTTTCAATATTTTTTTTGTACATTTCAGAATATAGGGAGAAGAAAGGACTTTGTGGTTTCCTCAGGAGGGTGTGGAAGGCTATGAAACGGCATTTCGGCTGCCGTTGTCACTGCAGTGCTGTGAATGTTGTGGAGCCTTTCATCCCTCCACCAGATCTGGACCCAGAGCCTGACCGAGATCACTCAGCCGTCAAGCACAATCATGGTAAATCTACAGTCATTATTTCTTGATCATTATTTTAAACAGTATTGTTGTCTTGTATTCCACTAAAAATATATTAAGGCTTGTTTTCTGAGAATAATATTATTCTCCCCATATTAATGTCATAAAAGGTAACTACAGGGGTTAAGATTAGGTTTAGGTGAAGGTGCATATCAAGTACCCAGTTATTGTAATAACTTTAATAAGTACATGGGGAACAGGACTGTGAAATAAAGTGCTACCGGTAACACTTTATTTTAAGGTGACGTAGTTACAAATTAGTACATCATCTACTTACTAAAGTACAGTAAATTATGCATACTTAACTAATCCTAACCTTAACTCTATTGTAAGTACATGTAGTCAATTCATATTACTTATCTGAGTCAGTAACCTTTTATTGTTATTTTTAAAGGATCTAGCGAGCTTATTTATTTATAATATTGTTTCTGTTTTTCAGAGTCCTTTGCTTCTCTCTTCGAGGTAGGAGAGATGATTGGGTCCGGGGGATTTGGCAGGGTGTACGAGGGAATGCGGAAACTGGATGGCAAAAAGGTAAATATTACCGAACTGCAGAAACATTTTTGCAAGTACAATTTACAGATCGTGGTTTGATACCTAGTGCAAGGTCAGGTGCCTGAATACTGTTACTGTTAATGAAACATTTTTTGTTTGTTTTTTTGCAGGTTGCCATCAAGCAGATCAGCAAGACTGACAACAATCGTTATCTTGCTATAGTAAGTTGTTGAATGTCTATTTAGTTGTTTAAGTGCTGATTACTGTAGTCAATACACCTGTAGGAAGCATTCGCTGTACATGTTACAGACAAGTAAGCCTAGACGCACCAAATAACTTTAAGCTGAAAAGGCTCTGTATCTACAGAGGTCAAAGAAAAGTACATTAAAAAAATGAGATTTGTACCCAGCTAATCTTCTCTCTTCTACTTTTCTCTAGCCTGGGCATCCCGAAC